TGTCTGATTCTCTATCAAGCCCTTCCACTGTTTGAACCTCTTGAATGCTTCACTTTTATGCTTCATTATGATTACCCAAGTCATTCTCGAGTAGTCATCAATTATCGACATAAAGAACCTGTGACCTCCAATAGATTCAACACGTGCAGGACCCCAGCAATCCATATGAAGGTAGTCAAGAGTCCCCTTTGTCCGATGTACACCCTTCTTTGGAAACTTGCTGCGGTGAAGCTTTCCAAATACACAATGCTCGCAGAATTCAAGATTCTGCACCTTGTGCCCAGAAAGAAGATCACGATTTGACAGAATTTTCATCCCTCGTTCTCCCATATGACCAAGCCTCATATGCCATAGCTTTGTCATATCCTTCGTTGGAACTTCTGATGATGCAATATCAGCAGAGCCTGTCACGATGGTACCTTTCAGAATATACAAGGTACCACGTTTCAGACCCGTCAGAACCACCTTTGAACCTTTCAGAATATGCATTACTCCACCTTCACCTCTGAAATTGAAACCCTTGCTGTCAAGTGTACTCAGCGATATCAAGTTCTTCGTCATCTGTGGAACATGCCTGACATCGTTCAAAGTGCAGAATATCCCATCATGCGTCCTTATTCTGATTGAGCCGATCCCTACCACCTTGCAAACAGCACTGTTGGCCATGGAAACATTGCCACCATCTACCTGCTCGTAAGTGGTAAAATACTCTCTGTGAGGACAGAGATGATATGATGCTCCTGAATCAAGAATCCACACATCATTCTGATGTGGCTGATCACCTGCAACCAAAACCAGATCTTCTTCAGACTTTGAATCATCAGCTTCTGCCATAGTTGCAGAACCGTGGGCATCCTCTTTCTTGTCCTTTTTCTTTATCTTCTTCTTAGGGCAATCAAACTTCCAATGTCCTGATTCTTTACAGTAGTTGCAGATGTCACCGGGTTTAGGACCTTTTGGACCTTTGGAGTTTGGCTTCTTCTTTCCAAAAACCTTCTGTCCCTTACCCGTAACAGAAAGTCCCGATGCCTGATTTTCTGTTGCTGAATTTGTTGCCTGTTGACGATCTTCTCTCATGTGGAGAGCAGATCGAACATCTTCCAGAGACAGAGTTTCTTTACCAGCAAGAAACGAATCAACAAAATTCTCATATGATTCAGGCAAAGAAACTAGCAGAATTAAAGCAGCATCCTCATCATCTACTTTAACATCCAGGTTTCGAAGATCAAGCAAAATTTTACTTAACGTTTCCAGATGATCCCGAAGGGGTGTACCTTCCTGCATGCGTAGTCGAAACAGACGTTGCTTCAAGAGCAACTTATTGGTCAGAGACTTCGTCATGTACAGGCTCTCCAACTTCATCCAGAGGGCAGCAGCGGTCTCCTGATCAGCGACTTCGATGATAACATCGTCCGACAGGCACAACATGATTGTCGAGTGGGCCTTTTCTTCTAGGGTTTTCCACTCTTCATCATCGTTTGCCTTATTCACCTTTTCAGTCAGCGGCGCCCACAATCCCTGCTGCTTCAGCAACGATCGCATCTTGATCTGCCA